CACTGTATAAGGGAGTTAGAACAAAGGTTCTCTGGAAGTAAGCGACCGGTTTCGCGGCTCTTGTCGCTCGTCAGGCATGCGCATGCGGTACTCTTGTCACTCCGTTCATGTAAATGTACCTAGGGAGTGTATTTTCATCACAATAACCTTGCTTACAACAGCGAATATGTTTTTGTGGACAGTTCTTTCAGAACCAATTTTATGATGAGTCAATACTACTACTATTCGATGTTTTGTAGGTGGACTGTACGCGGCTAACTGCAATGTATGAGGGCTCGGGTCGTTTCCGGATGCACAAAACGTTTTATTTGTTACACAAAAATAAGCATTACATGTTATCGATGTATTCTCCACCAGCGTCCGTGCGCAGTTCCATGCGCTCAAATCATTTGTTGAAACAGCTCGGCCGTGCCGCAACGGTTAACCCTTCATCCAGATCAATAAAGACCTCCACTGCAGCTGTTGGTGACTCGTATCGGATTTCACGCATCTCGCGATGGGCATTTGGGAACACAACATGATCACACGGTAAAGTGGGTGATCAACCTCCTGGGCGCGTTATGTAGCCAGAAAGTCGCCGACAAGGTCCCTCGCGCTCAAGTCCTTGGAAAACGCTTGGCAACAGTTTCCAGCACTTACGACAGACACTGGGTAGCGTACCAGTCTCTTTTGACTGTGCTTTGTTGTACAAGCTGTAAAGTAGCCACGTAGCCGGTTTTGGTCATGAACACAGGTACACGACCGCCGTCTGCTTTGCCACATTGCACCCGCGTCGGAATTTCTGAGGCGGTGCCCCACTAACCGGCGTCCATTGAGCCGATTGTTGCTTAGTCTCTGGGTCGAAATTGTACACTCAGGTTTCATCACCACTAATGATCTCCCAAACTGCATTGAATCGTGCACCATCAAACCTGGCAAACATCGTGCAGCACTAATTCACCCGAACTGCTTTCTGTTGCTCACTGAGCTGATGGATTACCCAATGTGTTTGACCACCGTGTTTCATCATCCAGGGACCGCCTACCACCCTCGAATTTTTTCAAACTACTTCTTGCAGGTGCGTCATCACCAAAGACAGCTCGCAAACGATCAACACTCTGCTACTGCTTGAAACCACATTGCCCTCCAGCGTCATCGACTGAGTTCCATCCTTACAGTCGAAGTATAGCGACCCTTATGACTTGTGAGCTGTGCTATTCACTGTTGATATTTCGTTCTGTGAGTTGCGATCACTGAACAATATTCACAATAGATTACAGCTCACGTTTTCTTTACTGGGCCATCTGTACCTCGTACGCGTACTGCGCATCTGCAAACTTTTTGCTTAGCCCTCGTATAATCATCCATCCGGATGCATGTGTGCACCAATGAACATGTTTCTCATTAATTTGTTTGTGCCCATCATTTATTCGTTTCATCCAGTCATTGTTTTCCACCAATGCTTAACTTTAACTGAACTCTCACTCGGTTTCATTGTGTTCATCCCATTCCTATCTTTCAGCCACCCGTCTGTCACCCAGTCCCTTCCATGTCTTCCTTCACCGACTTAAGTATGGAGGCCAATCGGGATCACCTTGAGATGCAATCACCAGAAAAGCCACCCAACCCCAATCAATGGGCTCGCCAACCTAAACGTAGAGCTACACGACGACGAACAAGCTCTTCAGACGAGAATGTGAAGTCTGAGCCTGTTGCCAAACGTCATCGCGCCGCAGAGCCCAAGATGGAAGCTCCCGTCAGACGTTCTTCTAGACGACTCACTTCACTGTCAATAGACAAATCGAAACTAAAATTTGAATATAAAGATGGAAAGGAAGAAGACTTACATGAAGAATTTCTACCGCAAGTATCACCATTAAAAAGTAAAGTGAAGCGTGAACCACGAGCCAGCGTTATCGCTAAACGTAGAAAATTTGAAACGAAACCGGAAGATCGGTCGTTTTGTAATGAGAAACTAGCTAAACGAAGCCCCTCTGGATCTGATCAGTCGAAGCGCGAATCTGTTTCCCAGAGCCGCTCTTCTCGATTGTCCCGACCTTCCCTACGCCCAGTGCGGGATTGTGTTGTCTTGTTGGACGATTGTCACAATGCTCTCACAAAGGTTAGTCACCAGCCCAGTTCGTTACTTGTTCGCTCATTTAAAGCTGCATAAATACGCATATTGGAAAGAACTGTAAACCAATTCGTTTGTCACATTAAAAGTACGTACCGCGGTGTTCGATGAGATCTAGTATAAAGATGGAACATTTGGTGCTCTTACCCGAGCCTTCTGTCAATACGCATTCATGTAATGATATTAATAGCCGTTGCTAGGCCATTCAATAAAGCTTGACAAGAGATCACATTGGGGTATTGAGTTTATTCAAGCTAAAATCATTTGTTACATTAGGTTCAGCTTATTTCTTATGATATTATGCGAGAGCGAATAGTAAACTGGGCGGCACCATTTACCAGCAGGACCTTTCTTTGAGCATCGTTAAAATAGTGCTCTAAACCCGGGACTTGGGATTGACAAACCACACGCAACATGGGAATAAAATACACACACCAATATGTCCCTGCTCATTCACTGTGTTCAGCGGCTGCATCTCAGAGTTCGGAGCACCCCCAGTGACTCGGATCGCTTGACCACAACTACCACTTGTGTGTTTAGCTCGCATTCATATTCCGGGTTCCGTGCTACGCTGCAATAAATATTTTGAGCCGTGACATTCGAACTCGGACAACTTTGATCGTGGCACTCAAGGTCGCTAGAATTCACCGAGTGAAATGAAAGAATTAACAGCGATTCAGTGGGGCATAAAGTTCAGAACAAATGCTCTTCACCCATGGCTATTAATATGCAAGTAAGCTGTTGGGAACCGAAATATATTTCTAAATTGAAGGTCACATCTTTTTTACTCGAGGTATCAATATGTATACACATCGCACAAGGATCGCGGTGTTTCTGTAGATCTCAACTCAGTTGACCCAGAGATCCTATTCCATCGTCTCTAAAAGGAGTGACGGAGAATTATATGCAAAGTGATGCTCCAAGCCTGGTTTTCGCCTACTCCTGCTATCAAAGTAGATAGTCAGGAAGTGACTGGTTGAGTTACATGTTGCACACGCCTAATGGTTGTCTACCGCACCACACTGTATTTGCAGCTGCCGTTCCGGACTGGAGAAAGATCATGTGAAGGCCTACAGGTGACGTAGAGCCGAGGGCTATTAGGCCGATAGATGTCTGTAGTTTTTCAGGTTCGTTTCCAAAAGAATCTGTCACAGGTTGTTCGCAGACACTTAACTGAGAGCGGTAACCTTCTCATCGACACTTCTTATCATACCAGAATAATTAGAAGGTTGTTCATACACGGTCAGACTATGTGGTCCATGTTGACTATAGAGGATCACTTTCCTTCTTTCTCCCACCAGGTCGATTGTCTAGCCGCACTATATATTCTTAGTTGCGTAATTTGTGTAAACTGTGAGCTTTGTAGCGATCAAAGAAGTTCACTTCGTTGCACCTCGCTATATGAAGTTGATGACAACTAACGCAACTCAGTTCAGTTCGATTTTCACAGGACGTTTTGTGGCTCTTTCTGTGTGTTTTCGTCGATTTTCTTTGGCCTCTAACACCTCGATATGCGGTTTTTATAGAAAGCAGAATAGAGTGGTGCAGTACCGCATCCTTTGAGGTTAGGTTGTAGATAGTAACTAAACACTTACCTCGTGGAAAACCACTGTCCAACACTCGTCTGTTGCCTTTGTAAAAGCATTTACAGTATTGCAGCTTACCACTATCTGCGGTAGCCGGTTCCCCAACGGAATCACCCTTTTAGTGAAGAAAGATTGCCTTCATTGGTTTTTACGCATACGCAGGTTATGTCCCCTCGTGCCCCTATACGAAACCAAAAGGAACAGGTTGTCAAACTTCAGGCTTAATGAATCCTTGACAGTCTTAAACGTTTCTATCAGGTCTTCTCTCATCTGCCTTCGTTTGAGGGAGAACAGATTCAGATCCCTGTGTCATTGTTCCTCATTGCCCAACGATCATCCTCAACTCTCTCTCTCTCTAGGCTGTCGGTGTTCTTCCGATAAAATGGACCCCAAGCCTGCATACAGTATTCCAGATGAGGACGAACGATACACTTGTATGGTGGGTAAACACCTCGGGTTTTCTGCCCGTCCTGATCGCACATAGACGAAACAGTTCTTCTCTAGCTTTGTTTGTGACCTTAACACACTGAATGCTTGGTTTAAATTCCCTACCACTCTCCCTAGGTCCTTTTCTTCGCGCACCATCTGTATCGATAGGCTCCTTTCTATCCCTTTGTCAGTCATGATCGGTAGTAGCTGAGATCTCGAGACATTCATTGGTAAGTCCCACTTTTCGGACCACACTACCTCTACATCTCTTGCTGGATCCTATCCAGTTATCTTAACGTCATCTACAAACAGAAAACCTGGATTTAGGAGATCCCATGCTAGTTCATTAATGTAAAGCAGGAATCGCAGTAGTCCAAGTACCGATCCTTGAGGTTCTCCGCTTGTGATCACTTTCTTCTCGGAAATGTGATCTACTTTGACGCTAAACGTCTGTGGGGCTAGGAGACCAGTTATGCAGCTCCTTACTGGCTCAACTTTTTCCAGCACCTACAGTCTATGTTCTAACATATGGTGGCTGACCTAATCAAATGCTTTCTGAAAGTCCAGATAACATACCCCCACTGGGTGACGTGTGACGTCGTCTAGAAACTCCAGTATGTTTATCAGATGTGACCTCTATTCAACAAACCCATGCTGAGCTGGTACCACAATTCCGCTATCGACTATCTGATGGCATACTTACCTTCTCATTACCCACTTCAATGCTTGCATATTACTGACATCAAGCTTACTGGTGTATGATTCTCGGCCTTTTGCCGCAATCCAGACTTATTTATAACCATATCCGTGGTTGTACACCAGTTGTCCGGGACAACTCATCTAAGCGGCGCTTTGAATAACTCAACGATGGGACCCGCAATGAAGTCTGCCAGAGTTTGAACCACCACTGGGTGTATGCCGTTATGCCCCGCTACCTTGAACTTATCGAGTGCTCTCAGCTCACCGTGTGCATCCCGAAATTGTACAATGGTTGTTTGCATTTTACGGTTAACTTCTATTGGTGGAATTTTATCTGTCACCTTAGTGGATCCTATATATGCTAATGAAGAACTGTTACAGGATGCGAGTCCTGTCCCGGTCACTCACCGCTACTTCTGCAGTCGGCGTTTCTAAAATACTGAGTGTATCCTTTCGATTGGACATACGCGTAAAAGCACTTTTGATTGTGCTTGACGTTCTTCGCTAAGTTCCTCTCAAATTGGTGCTTCGCTTCCTTTCTTATCTTCTGTGCGTGGTTGGGCGCCTGTTTGTAGATATTCTACGACTGATGGGTGCCATACACTTGGTCTGCTCACCGTCTTCGGCGAGAGGTTGTATCCGTATCTATATTCGCCTTCCACCAAGGGGGGGCGCTGTTTCTTTCTGAATGGAATCGGGAATGCGAACCGGTCCGTAGGTCGGAATAGTCCTACATTGATATGGTTTCATCGGGTGTCCAGAGATACATCAGCTAAGTTGAGTACGCAGTTTATATCCGGTGCTGCTCTAACCAGTTCCTCGTGCTTGGTGTTCCCACAGCGCCTAATTAGTTTGGCCTCCGGTTTGTCGTGGCTGATTTCTATCGTTGGCCTCAGGAACACACTGTCGCTTTTCCCCAGGGACTCCTCCAGAGTTATAGACCCATTGTCCGTCGGGTTTCTCGTGATCACAAGATCCAGTATAGATGGCCTTTCATCCACCTGAAACCCAGTGGCTTGTCGCGTGTGTTGTAATAACGCGTGCTGATGTAGCCAATCTAGTAGTAGTCTTCCCCCGGTACCCGCTGCTGCCCAGCCTCTATTCCGGTTTATCTCTGTCATTAATAAAGTCACCTATTAACAACACGCTGCGAAGTACCTACGAATACTTGCATTTGTGCATTCAACTCTTCATCTTCTGTCGCGTTTTCCTGCGGAGATCGGTAGACACACAACCCCGAATGCATTCCTGCCTATTTTTACTACACTACTGATAGCTTGTATGTTGGAAGTCTTTAGGCTTCTGTTGCCTCCCACTGTCTGCGGTCTGGCTTTACCATCAGCAGAATCCTTTTTCTTTGTCTGCCCTCAATCTCATCCTGTCTATAAATTGTGTAGTCGCCTATCCCTGGTGTGGCGTGGTCTGTTCGCATCCCAGATTCAGTTATGCCAACTGTTTCTATGCATTGGGTGCGTTTCTCGTTCCTCCCCATTTTCCCGTATGCTACGAGCATCGTTATACCGCAGTGTGACTGTGTCTGCTTGAGCATGCCTGCTGGGCCGGGAAGTCATTTTGGAGGGATCCTCGGGAGTAATGCCCGAGGTGTTAGCGTGTTTTTTTATGGGATGTATGGCTGTTTGTGGCTTTCCTCATTTTCCAAGCCATTCCGCTTTTCTCCCTAGGAGTCACTTTTATCGTCATTCCAAAAGCTTTCTCGACCCCCATAATTACCCCCACCTTTGCTTTTGTAGTAGTTAATCTCTGTTGCACTCGGAAAGCTAGGGGTTTCACACTCATTGTAGCACAGTGTTGATTTTTCACGGTTTATCGTAGCCTGTTTCCGCACACAGCAAGCTGCAACTAAATTCCCTGTGGTGCTCCATCCTGTTTGCGAATTTAGGTTGCAGTGCGCCTTAGAGGTCTAGCTCTTGCCTTACGGGCGTCGGCGTTGTTTACCATAATTTTTTCTTGT